TTATTTTATTTTATTTTATTTTATTTTATTTTATTTTATTTTATTTTATTTTGTTTTATTATATTTTATTTTATTATATTTTATTTTATTTTATTTTATTTTATTTTGTTTTATTATATTATATTATAGTATATTTTATTTTATTTTATTTTATTTTATTTTATTTCATTTTTTGTTCAATTTAATTTTATTGTAATCGGCGATGCCTCTGGGTTAACAGTCGTTTGACCTGTGTCTTTGCGTATACCCAAACTGCCGTTTGAATGTAGAGTTTTCTTTGGTCACCACTAAAATAGCAACACTAACAAGCTTTGTTCAAATTTATTGCTTTGCTTGCCGCAAAAATACACAAAATATGAAAGTTAAAAACAAAAAATAATAATTTACTACAAAATAAATTCAGCGAAAAGAAGAAATTTAAAACAACCAGGACTTGTGAATCCTACTTAATTTCATAAAAATTGGCGCATCTGAACCGTTTCATCAATAATTAGGTATTTAAAAATAGATTTAAAAAATTTTCGTTTTTGTAAAACATAAAGATATCCTTATACACAAGCAAATATGAACAATGCAAAGAAAATATACAAACGTACATACATGAATATGTATACATTACCAACAGTTTTCTTAAGTAAAGAAAATTATTTACGACGAGTCAATTTTTTCTGTATTTTACAAACTAACTTTCAATTTTAATTTGAATATTTTACAATTAATTAAAAATAATTTTGCACAACAAGACCACCTATGCTGCTCTTATGGATGCTGGCGTGCTAAGCTTGAAGGCCGTTTGAAGCATTTTCATGTTGTTTTTTGTTTAAAAAATAAAAATAAAAAATATTGAATATTGAGTAAACAATATAAAAAAAAAAATTATGTGCAATTTAATTGCATTGATTTCGATAACTGCATTGGCAGCTGGTTTTTGCCTAAAACTTTTTCGAAGCTTTTTCGAATTAGAAAGTAAGGCCATTTCCACAGCACAGAGCCATTAAATCGTAAGCATCCTTTATCTTTTTTTTTGTATATATATGCCAACATCCATTAAAGAAGCATAGCGGTACCTAGCACACAAAATGGCTGTAAACTATAAACAATTCCTGCTTCGAAACGCGTCAATCGTTCTAAGTGCTTGCTGTCATTTCGTAGACAAAACGTACATATTTCAAGTTTCTTTCTAAATTTTCCGCCCACAACGGTTATCTTTGCTCAGTTACTGACTAAAAAAAAAGAAGTCTTAATAATACTTAATAATAAGTAGAGGAAAAAACGCTAATGCTTAACAAAGTACGCTTAAAGCTACAGCAAAGTAACTGAGAAGAGAGAGAGAGAGAGAAAGAGTTTAAAAATAGAAACAAGTTTTTTTCTTTTTTTCTTTATATTTTTCATCATCTTTCTACTTCCTGCTTATATTTGAATACACTAATGCTACAGCAATTTTATCTTACATAAGTCTAGTCTATGCACTTATTCCCCTTTTTTCTGTTTTATTTTTGTTTTTTTACTACTACTAATCCACTACTTCAGTTTACTCCGTAATTTTCCCTTTGCTCCACTTAATGTTTCATTTCATTATTTTCAAATTATAGTTTTCTAATTTCCTTTTTCGGTTATTCACTATTTCTGCTTCTCTGCAGCATTGTATGTAAAAAATTCTACAATTTCTTTTTTCATTTTTTCCTTTTTAGATTTTTTATGTTTTATTTTTCTTTCTTAGCAAAAATTGCCAAATTTTCACTACAAAATTGAGTCCTCTAGCCTAACGCGTTTTAACATTTCCCTTCCCTTGCTTCTCCTATTCTCATATTCAAGTTTTCAAAACTATTGCATATCCGCCTATTATTTTTTTCTTCCTTTTTTGTGGACTCTTCATATTAGCTCTATGGCTTGCGTCTCATTTCTAAAAAAAAAAAAAAAAAAAAAATATATAGCTTTTTTCGTTTTCATCTTAAATGCAATTTAGTCCTTATTTCCCCAACTACTTGACTTAATTTAACATTAATTTTTTCACATTTTTCTTTGCTTCCCTAAAAATTAACGCTCACAACAGCCGTCTAACTGTCTGTCTGCCTGTTCGTGCTACGTCTTTACCGCTAGCGAATGCACACATTTTGTTGGTTTTCTTTATAGTCATTCGCGTGAATGCCGCGCATGCGTGCTCATCAAACCCATTTTACATTCAACGGATTGCGCTTTGACCAACAATTCTCTATTATCATCCGTCTATCAACTTGTTTTTAACTTATTCATTTAATCAATTTTTTCTTTAATTTGTGTTCGTAAACGAAATCCTTCAATACAAATGTATATAACAAATTTTCATACATACATACATGCATATATTTAAAATGTAGGTATGTATGCATTTGGAGACGGAAAGTACAATGTATGTATGTATTAGTGTGGCTTCCTTTTATTACTATTCTTCTGCTTCTGCTCCTCTTCTTATTTATCTTCTTCAGCTTCCTAATGTTTTATGCAAATCAGCATTTACATACACATATATATGTATGTATGTATGTGTTTTAATCAACTTCAATGCTACTTAAATACTCTTTTCAGTTTTCAGTTTCGTTACAAACTATTATTATATGTGTTTAAATTTTTTTCTTTTCAAAAAGTAACAAATAAAATATAACGGTTAAATGTCATTTATAAAATGAAAGATTCAAAGAAATTCAACAATCGTGTGTAAAATTTCAAGTAAACTTTGTTTTTCTTCTTCTTCATTCTTCATTCTTTATTATTCGTTCTTGTTTCTTCTTTCGCTTTTCTATTTTACGTTTCCTTCTATATTACCTTCAACATCATTGCATCTTTCATTCCATTTATCGTCTGTTACTTCTTATTACTGCATTCTACTTTTAGTATTAAATAAATAAATTGGTTTCACCCATTCTACTCCTTCACTACTGTCCGCCTCTCTCGATATCATTCAAAATGTAAATACTTTAATGTACTCTATTAAAGACATTCAAAATTCCTTGCATCTTTTGCGGGTATTTAGTGATTGATTTTTTATTTTAAATCTTTTTTTTTTATCTTTTGGCGCTTCTAATCGTCTAACTTGCTATTGGCTGACCAGCATTTTCTTATTTTTTTTTTAATATGCAAAAATACACACATACATAGACCACCTGCTGTTACAAGTGACCTTAACGGCATTTTCCCCTTCATTTAATTTTCTCGCGCGCCCTCGACATGCTTGCCAGCCACTGCTGGGCAGCCGTTTTCTTTAGGTTTAATACTCTTCAAAAATTCTTTTCACCCGCCTACTAATTTTTCCTCTTTTTCGAACTGTATTCCATGCAATTTCATTCCTTTTAGTTAGCGCTTTCTTCCAGTTAAGCATTTTTTCTTCTTTTGCATTCAACTTTTCAAGTGATTTTGCTTTTCCTTCTTTTCTTCTTGCGCATTGCTTCCCTTGTTCTCTTTATTTTTATTAGTAAGTATGTATGTATGTGTATGTTTAACTTAGTCTTTACATTTCTCTTCATTTTAATTTTATATCCTTAAAATGTTTCGTTACTGCTCATTCACTAGCACAGTATCATCATTTTCGCATACAAATATAAAATATATACTTTATGTTCTTTTCATTTTCTTCATATGCTCTTCTAGTTTTGGTTGCCATTTCTTTCTTTTATTAGCATTGTTGCAGTAAACTGCAATAAATATTGGAATCTGTAGTCACTTTTACTATTTTCGTAGGGCAACTGTTTTCATTTTGTTTTTGTTTTATTTTCTAAGTTTGTTTTATGTTTATTGCTGCCGGTTGTCACCGATTTCCTTGTTGCTGTTGCTGTTGCTGTTGCTGTTACTGTTGCTTTTGTTTCATTTGTTCAAAGGTTGTTGTAATATTGTATTGTTGTTGTGTTCTGAATCGCTTTGTCCCTCCTTGTCGTTTTCATTTTTGTTGTTTTTGTTGTTGTTGTTTATTACTATAGTATCTTCTGCTGCTGTTGCATATGTTTGTGTGGTTTTTTTTTTGTTATTCGCGTTTATCCGATTCCACTTCCAGCTCCCATTAGAGAGTCAATCGCGGCATCATAATATTACATCTGCAAAAAGAAATGATATTTATTCAAGGCGGGTACTATTTCATAAAAACATTGACTTTGTAGCAACATAAAAAAGTATTTGTATTCACTAAATTAACATATGTATATACCATTCTGTGTCTACACAAATTATCTTCATTATTAGGGTATACTAACTCAGTGATCTAGCCAGACCTAACGTGATAATTCCTAATAATCACTCTAATCTGAGAATTACTTTTGAAGTTAAGTTCCTGAGTCAGAATATAGACAGTAGCCGTTTTATGTAAATTAGTGAACCCGCATCTAAATCCGTTTCTGAGTGAGGGCTCCTGTAGTGTCGGTTTTTAATTTTATAAAATTTCAAATCACCCCGTACCGATAAAAAATTACTAAATTCAATAAATAAAACTTTATCGCACATCTGCAAGCCAGGGTGTTTAAATTGACCTATAATTTTTGAAATTCGAAAGAACGATGCAAATCTAATAACCCTCACAAAAAAATATCTTCTCGTATAATATACATACATATATTCCTACTACTTAGATCGATATGACTTTTCGAAAAGGTTGTAAGCCTAATCAAAGATATTTTCAAATTAAGACCTTTGAAAACCTCTTTCGTCGGATACCCATATTGTGATATATATGTATGTATGTATTTCAGCTATCTAATTACATTAATTCAAGTTGAATTTGACTTTCAAACATGTGGCAACCTTCCTAAATATATTTCAGAAATAGAGCCTCTTAATTTGAGTGTAACGTGGCAGCTCTCTTCAAACATTCCAAATGCTCAAAGTAAAGATTTCTTAACACTCAAACAACTTGTGTATAAGCTAATACAATATGACTTTTCAAACAGGTTGCAACTCTTTTCAAAACTAAAACCATTTAACGCTCCTTTGTCTGACATTGCGATACATATTTTAATTAACTAATGAATTTCATTTGATTTTTTAAACAGATGGCAACCCCACTAAATATAGTTCAGAAATAAAACCTTTTCAAACCCATCTTGACTGATACCAGTATTTCAATAATTCCTTTAACTGATTGAATAATTTGAATTTAAATTTTTAAACAGGTGGCAAACTTCATTAAACATCACAAAAATATTCTTAATGTTTAAACCAAAGATTTTTTAACACTCTTTCGTTTGACACTCATATTTTAATATTTCATGTAACTTGTGTATAAGCTAACTAAATTCGACTCTTCAAGCAGGTGGCAACACTCCTACTACTGTTTCCTTAAACCCCTTTCCTCTGGCGCCCATTTGATGATCCATATTTCTATTATCTAATTCCCTTAATTCAAATTGAACTTGATTTTTTAAACAGGTGGCAACCCTCTTATAGTTAAGTTAAGAAACAAAGCTTTTCAAAACCATTTCTATTGATACCTATTTTGTAATAATTGATTTATTTGTTTAGATAATTATATTCAACAATTTTTAGATTATTTTAATTTAATTTTTTTAAGGTGGCAACTTTTTTCAAAAAAGTGAAACCCAATTGCATATCTACAACCCAAGCCTTTGATTTGACACCTTATTTTTGAAAATCGAGCGAACGATGCAGATCTGATGATCTGGACAAAAAATCCCATCGCATATTTAACACCTATGTATGCACTAGTGAACCCGCATGGCTACAAAACCAAAACCGGCCGTTTCTTAGAGAAGAGAAATGGTGTCGGTTTTCATTTCGCCCTTAACAAAATATGTCTTCACGTACTATATAAGTATATGTACTTAATTAGATGGATATAGGTGGAAACGCTGATAAAAAAATTTTAATATTTCACTTAACATGTGTATAAGTAAAATAAATTCCGCTTTTCAAATTGGTGGCAACCCTTTTTAAAAAGATTATCAAACCAAAATCTTTTCAATCTTTTCGTTCGACATTGTGATATTTAAATAAGTCGGCAACGATGTTTTTGTGTATTTCACTGACGTTATTCTATTGCAAGGTTTGTTTGATATGAAGGAAAAATTAATCGAGTTCGTACGGAATTATGCAGAATTAAATAATTTGTTTCACGAAAAATATATGGATTTCGGATTTAAAAAATCATATTTGGAATCCTCGTTTTATCTAAACCTTGTGAACCCATTTTTTATTACTGAAAGCAACGGACGGCATACTAAGGATGTGTGTGATTGGTATCACTGATCGATCTGATTGGCGATGATACCGAACTGGCACGGCACTGATGTATGTGGATGGACCTTCAATCTCGTTCCTCCATAAACAAAAATATTTTATGAGATGATGAGATACTAACTTATCAGAAGTAATTGAGATTAAACTACACTGCTTATCAAAGAAAATTATTAAGTGATTTGTCAAAGTTTGGTCACTAGTCACGTGGATGGCCTTAAAAATCGCGTGAATAAGAATTAAAATGCCCAAAAATCAAATTAAATTGGACTAAGGACACGCATCAAAACATGCAGAAAATCCTCAGTTTTTCATAACTTGAGTGTACCAAGATGTTGTCTAGTAAAAAAGCTTAAAAAGAAGGGTGTAGCCAGCAACAACAATTAACCTCGGTCGAGATCTTGGCTTACACTGTACGACCATTTCGATGGTCCTCTGCAATAACGAGAGAATTCAAAATTCGAAAAATAAAAAGTTTTGCTACTGTTAAGTGGCTCTTGCCTCTAATCCTTTTCCAACCCTTACTAAAGTAAGCAGTATGGATTTCTAAACTAAGTCCTAAAGATTAGACATGGATTCGAGAAGGATTAGAGACAAGAGCCATTATTGCACAAAACCATTGATTTATTTTTAGTCTTTCACAGGTTGGCGCTTTTAAGCGTGCTTTTTTTTCAATTTAAAGTTGTTGGTCGCATACAGAGCAGAATTATAAAAAAAGCGTTGTAAAAATGAAAGGTGATTAAAATTAAAATATTCATGCATTCAAAAGAACTTTCTGGGAGTTTTGAGCTACGGGGCATTTGAATTTGCCATTTATTTTTACCAAAAAGAGACGCTATGGTGCGTTTTGATACAACAGACATAGAAGGAAAATGAAGGCAATTTGCAAACCATGTTTCTCAACAATGTTTCTAAACAATTTTAATTGTTTTAAATGCTGCTCTGCAACCATCAACTTTAAATGAAATTATAATATTTAAAATCGCCATTTCAAATCGGTCCAGCTTACTTACATAAATTTAATATTTTTCTGAACTATTTTGGCACAAGTTTTAAAATATAATAAATGGTATAAGTCCGTTGGGAAAGCTTGACCATGTTTTTATGGGCAGTGATGTACCCTAATGTGCATATACATAGTATATTAAAAAGCAGGGACGTGAACCGGTTTTGAACCGGAAAACCGCTTTTTTCTATTAATTAACTGAACCATTAACCGAACCGAAATTTTCCACAAATGTTTGATCCGAACCGAAAACCGAACCACTTTCCATAACGGTTTAAAGGTTCGTTTCAACCAATTTTCAAAAGATAAATGTACTCACTTTTTTTTTTCTTTTTGTTAAACATTGTAATACCTACCATGTTTGTTTACCATGTGACAATATATCGTCGGTCCCTACGAAGAGTAGCACATTTCACTATTCGCGTGGAAGACTAGCACATTTCATTATACGCGTCGAAAAGTAGCACATTTAAAATTTTTGCGTCGAAGAGTAGCACATTTCATTATTTGCGTAGAAGACTAGCACATTTCAGATTTTTGCGTGGAAGACTAGCACATTTCAGAATTTTGCGTGGAAGACTAGCACACTTCAGATTTTTGCGTGGAAGAGTAGCATATTTCACTATTTGCGTGGAAGGCTAGCACATTTCAGATTTTTGCGTGGAAGACTAGCACATTTCAGATGTTTGCGTGGAAGAGTAGCACATTTAAACTAAATCATAAAAGCATAATTTATATTGGAAATTCAAGTGCTTATTTTATATTTGTGTAATTCTATTATAAAATTCATAAAATTCCGACGGTATATCCTATGATTCCTTTGATTATTTTTGTCGCATTTGCTACTATATAACGAATAAACACAATTTATTTTTATATGAAAGAAAACCGCAACAACGGAAATTTTTTAGCCACTTGAAACTTGCACATTATTGCAATAAAATTGAAAGGACTTTAATTCTATATACTCAAAAAATTCTTAGAAAAAAATTATTTGACATTTGGATGAACATTTTTAGATTTTTTTTAGTTTTCTATAAAGTTTTAAATTTGGGTTTATATCATGATTCAATAATACAAGGTTGTGTAATTTGTGACAGCTAAAATTTGACACTCCTCTATCTAGATTTGTATTTTGGAAGTAGGAGAAAGGGGAAGAATGTGATCGCATTTTGCGAAAACGGTAGTAGAATGGTACTACAAAAAGTACGCAAAGTATACAATTAGAAGTAAAATGTGTATTATTAATTCTATGCGAATTTGCAATATATTTGGTGTTTTAATGGAAATACTAAACAATACATAAAAATATGCATTTTCGAATTAAGTTCTTCGTCATTTCCGGGAACAAATCTAGAATGCCGGCCGTTGAGCTATGCAAAAACTATAAATGCGGATCAATAGAACTTTTTATGCTCATTTCACCCATGCCAAAATGATTTGGCGCAAGTAAAAAATGAAGAGGTTCTAGAAGGTTAAAGTTCAGTTTTTAGATATTTTAAATATTAATATCTTATGTAATTTATAACCAATTAAACAGCTAATGACGTCACCATAAAGGTCATTAATTTGTTCTTCAGCTGATGTACATAATTTATAGCCTTTTGTATTTTTAAACCAAAACCACTAAAAATCCAAGAAATATTATTTTTTCATGAAATAACCTTTTTTGAAAAAACTGCATAATTAATGGTAAAGAATTTTATATAATTTAGAAAGTACAAGTTATTATCTTTAATTCGATATTACATACTTTATCATGATCTACTTTTGGGTTTCAACAATTTAGTGATAATAAAAAATACAAATAAACCTCTTATATCTTCTTTTTTTACCAGTGACAAA